CATTTTCTTAAATCAATATGTTTGGAATTTAACAGCTAGCTTAATGCGAGTGAATAATTAGCTTGATGCTAATCGCTAATGCTATTCCTCGTAGAGGTGCGGTTGCCAGTTTGAAGAGCCCATATGTGACCAGTCCATATTATGTTCCACGCAGGTATTTATTTTATTTTAATGTCTTTCTTTTCAATATAAATGTATAGTTTTGGCCATTATATGCAAGACGGGCATGAGAGGTGCGGTTGCCAGTTTAAAGAGCCCATATGTGACCAGTCCATATTCTGTTCCACGCAGATTAAAGGCATATTTCAACATATACTGTCTCGTGGCCATCATTAAACAAACACAACGCAGAGGTAAAATACGACGGTACAAAGGAAGAGACGAGAACAGGGCCACTTCTATCTGGACCGAGCTGAACAAACACACGGCCAAGTTCAGCACGGTTACACTCAGAGTTTGGGATGAACTGGTCTGTTCAGTGTCCCATTCTTTCACTGATTCTCACTTTTCTGAAACCGCAGACAAATTCAGCCTGAATCTGCTTTGTTCTGGACACTCTGAGGTCAGGAACAAAAACACTGGCCAGATTCATTCCACATTAAAGGAAACGTGCAAAAACAACGGGACTTTTAATTACCGAAAATGAATGAAAATAACACATTTTCTGGGCCTAATCTACTGAGTAACAGAGGCGTGGAAATGTCTGCTTTATAGGATGCATCTTGATGCTGACATTTAGAATTCAGCATCCAATCTAAAACGAGTCAAATGTAACGAAGCCGAGGTCTGAGTGGAATTAAAAAGAGGCAAACATGGCTGCGTTAGCTTAACCCTTTAAAGCCTGATCCAGGAATAAAACAAAACAGAAAATTCCTTTTTTTTGGTTTGAATTCCTTATTTGGCCTTTTAACAAAATATGTAAAAACAAAAAACAAAAATACATTTTTTATATTAATAATTTATTACTATGCGATGAGTCCAGATTATGTTTTGTGTATCTTCTGCCCCCTGTTATCAGGTGTATCTGATTGTGTTCAATAGGATTTTGAGCAAAGTTTAAATTATGCAAAAGGTGTCAGACGCAAAACATTTCAGAAACCGTGTGTATTAAATATGATACATTTGGCATTACAGGGGTAAATACTTGCTCAACCAGTGAAACCACCCCCATCGTTACCTAATTTAACTGCCAAAAATTTCTTTTAAAATCTGTTTTTTTTCTAGTTTAGGCAAAACAAATGGCGCCTGTCACCTCCACACACTTCCTTCTCTCTGGGTTAGGGTCAGACGCAAAACATTTCAGAAACCTTATGTATCAAATATGACACATTTGGCATTACAGGGTTAATGGCCGCTCGGCTATCGGGCGCCTGTTGTCGGGATTATCCCCTGGAAGGTAAAGACGGAGCATTACAGCAGAACCCATCCATCCATCCATCCATTATCAATACCGCTTATTCCCTGATGGGGTCGGGGGGCGGAGCCTATCCCAGCAGCCAATGGGGAGAGGCGGGGTCCCCCTGGACGGTCCCCAGTCCATCACAGGGACACACAGAGACACACAAGGACCCACAACCACTCACACTCACATTCACTCCTAAGGGCAATTTCCCCAATCTCCAA